TCGAGCAGCAGAGAGGACTCGAAGGGCAGATATTGTTCGATAATTCGTGCAGGCACAAGACCTGTTCGTCGACCATGTTACAAGTTTGTACACAGTAGGTGTCTGGCGCAGTTTCGGAAGAGCTTCACAAACTGGTTGCCCTTCCAACGCGAGCCGCTAGACACTTTGGGCAACGCAACTCTTTGGCCATCAACACCAACGAATTGAATTGATTGTAAGTTAATCCTTAGACAGCCTCGACCACTGCCATCTGACGTCGACCGCGACAATTTGTTGTTCGTGCGGTGTTAAACTGCTTCGTCTGTACTGCTACAGATTCTATTACTTCACTTCTCTCATGGTTTCTTGATCCTCTGTTTCTTCGCAATCGCCCGGAGGTAAACAACAACAACCATGGCTTCCTCCGGCGGTGCTTCCTCAATTTCAGTCACAGTTCGAGTCAGACCATTCACAATCAGAGAAGCTGCGCAATTGACCAAATGTGACGACACAACAATATTTCTTGGTGACGGTTCCCTTGCCGCTGCACCTACACCGAAGCTCTCTCAAAAAGGCATCCGACCAGTTATCAAAGTGGTGGATGACAAGTGCTTGTATGTCCTAGTGGTCTCCCTTTCATCCACACTTCTGACCATCACACAGAGTATTCGACCCTCCTGAAGACAATCCCGTCCAGAAATTCTCTCGATCATTGGTTCCAACCGGCAAGCGAGTAAAAGACCAGACCTTCGGCTTCGACAGAATCTTCGACGAAAATGCGTCGCAAGGAGAGGTATACGAGTCGACCACAAGACCACTGCTGGATAGTGTTTTAGATGGATACAATGCGACTGTTTTCGCCTACGGTGCAACTGGTTGCGGAAAGACACATACAATCACGGGAACTGTTCAACAGCCTGGCATCATCTTCCTCACCATGCAAGAACTCTTCGAAAAAGTGGGCGAGTTGGCTTCCGACAAGGTCACAGAGATATCACTCTCCTACCTCGAGATCTACAACGAAACGATCCGTGATCTCCTTGTTCCAGGTAGCGGCGGAAGAGGAGGGCTCATGCTGAGAGAAGATGCCAACCAGACAGTATCGGTCGCTGGACTTTCCAGTCACCACCCACAAAATGTCGAAGAGGTCATGGATATGATCATGAAGGGAAATGAGATGCGAACAATGTCACCAACGGAAGCCAACGCAACTTCATCCCGGTCACACGCTGTACTCCAGATCAATGTGGCGCAAAAAGACAGGAATGCGAGTGTGGAGGAACCTCACACAATGGCCACTTTGAGTATCATCGACCTGGCGGGCAGTGAGCGAGCAAGCGCCACCAAGAACAGAGGCGAACGTCTACTTGAAGGAGCCAATATCAACAAATCTCTCCTTGCTCTAGGCAGCTGCATCAACGCTCTGTGTGACGCTCGCAAACGCAATCATGTTCCATACCGGAATTCAAAGCTCACTCGGCTCCTCAAATTCTCCCTTGGTGGCAACTGCAAGACTGTCATGATTGTCTGTGTCAGTCCTTCAAGCGCACATTTTGACGAAACCCAGAATACTCTTAGATATGCCAACCGCGCGAAGAACATCCAGACCAAGGTTACCCGCAATGTGTACAACGTTAACCGCCATGTCAAGGACTTTCTGGTCAAGATCGACGAGCAAATGGCCCTGATTAATGAGTTGAAAGCGCAGCAAAAAGACTACGAAGCGGTGGCGTTCGCCAAGTTCAAGAAGCAAAATGAGAAGAAAGAGACCATAGCAAGAGAAGGTGTCCAGAGAATCAGGAATGCATATGAACACTCTTCAGCAGAGAGACAAGAACGAACCAACAACATGATCAAGCTGAAGCAGCTTGGTCGACGCATTGCAATGTTGTCGGCGTGGATGAATGCCTTTGACAGTGTATGTGATAGCCTGGATGATGAAGAACCCATGAAGAACATGCATGTCGTGAGGAAAACTGCCCAAGGCATAATCATGGAATTGGAGAGTGGCCGACACCATTGCCAACAGAAAGTGGTGAAGAGCACATGGGATCGAGCACTGCACACAGCGCTAGAACATTCTCTGAAACAACTCAAGGAAGTCGAAACTGGTGATATGATAGACTCCGAGACCCTACGACGCGAAGTGGAAATGCTGAAATTGACTGCTGAGAGAGAGAATCTTGCTGCTATCAATGAAGCAGATAAGGCCGGCGACGCAGCAACAATCCAGGTGCTACTTCAGGCTCACTTTGAGACAATCTCTGCCATTGAAACTTTGAACAGAATGAGCGTCGATGAAGCAGTTGAAGCGGCAACCCAAATCCTCGGCAAGATGCTCACTTCGTCGTCCAGTGCCGCCTCTTACATTGTCAAACCGGATGGCAGTCTCGCTCCTGTTGAGGCCTTCGTACCTACCAAGGCTGGTACTCCGAAGCGACGAAAGCACAACCCGAACAACTCCATCCTTGAGAACAGCCCAATTCGGCCGAAGGTTGCTGCCGTTCTTGCTCCTCACGTCATGCACTCTCCAAAGGCTTCGCCAAAACGACGAGGACTGTTTGGTAGCGCTAAGAAGGGTGTTTCATTCACGCCAAAGAAGAGGAAGTCTCCCATCAAGGTGAAACGAGCAGTGAGATGGCGAGACGACACTGAAGATGGTACCCTGGCCGAATTCGAGAAGACCCCACAGAAGTTTGTATCTTCTTCGCCTGAAGAGTCTACCACCGAGATCACCGTTCCCCAAATTTCCAACCTCACTGCATCACTTGCACAGGCTCAAAACCAGTCACCCGGCTCTTCACCCATCCCGCCACCACCCGAGTCGAGCCTCGCTAAGAGCAGTCGCTTCCAAGCAGGGTTCCTGTCCAAGAAATATGACGGCTCGCCAATGACTTCTTTGCCTGCTCCAAAGATGACGTCGCTTTCATCTTCAGACAGTGAGCCATCCCCTCTTCGTGAGATTGATCCCAGCAAAGCGGCGAACCGACGTTCAATGACACCAATGACCTTCGAGAACCCTTCCTTTGGCGGGTGCGCCGACAATGCTAGCAATTCTTCATCCGATGCCGAGAATCACAGCAACTCTGACAAGGACGATGCTATGAGGATTCGCGATGCAGTCAAGCGCTCAAGTTCACTTCGTCGATCGGGCATCGGCAGTCGCACTCAGCGCCGTCGGTCTCCCACTGCTGCAACAGGCGTCTCCGGTTCCCCACCCAACGACAGCATGTTCGCTGCCGGCCATGTTAGAAGGATGGTCATGGGTAAGACCGAGAAGGAGAATGACTGGAAGGTTGGTGTGTTGAGTCCCCGGGTATCAGGTGTGGTCAGTCATTCGAAGAGTATGGGAATGAATTCAGCAAGACGGACAACAATGAATGGTGATGTACGATCAACTCCAAGCACAGCTGATCGAGGTATCGTGAGAATGGGATCGACTTCGAGAGGAAGTCTGATGCCCAACGGGAAAGCGGTCTGGCGTTGAGGCAAAAAGTACCTTGAAATTATTGCTCTTCGGGGGTTTGCATTTATCGGTGCTTCCAAGGCTTGGGACAAGGTCATCAAAGGTTGTTGGATTGGATGGCATGGCAAGGCAAGGCTGGCTGGCTGCCGGTATCGATCGGAGTTGTGGTCTTTGCACAATGTCAGCATGGCACATATCCAATGTGCGGTTTTAGGGGCTTTGTAATTAGCATCGGTCTGATTCTACTGGAGTCTGTGAAGACCATTATGATTAACGATATGACTTCATTCAATTCTGCTCAACGAGGGCGATATTCTTGTCACTGGAATTGATAAAGGGCCACTTACTTGAATATACACCGTTGGGAGGGAGTTGATGCGGCAGTGACAGCCTCGCATTGCTCCGGGAGGTATATCCGAAGGGGTTCAGCCTTGCGAGTGCTGATTCGCATACGGAGTACTGGAAAACAATCTGACGTAGCTCTCTGACTCTCTCTTTGATAAGGCATCACATCGCAGATTGACTTCATGAATGGACATATCACCCAGGTCTGTATCATATCTCGAGCAGACAAGAATCGACATTGAAAATCATCAGCGCGACGCCTGCCATATATCACCACTCACCCACTCGGTGCCTACTAAAGGTATTCACGGGCACCGAACATCGATCGTCGGTTATATTGACGCCGTCTGGAATATGGCATCACTATCAGGACAACAAGGAGGGGGCTCGAAAGACAATCCGCCTGGTAAGAGTTCGTTAGGGGAGCAGGCGAGCCAAGCGGCGGAAAGGTATTTAGGCGACTCAAGTGGCGAGGGCAAGTCTAGTGCTGTGAGTTCAATTCATTTTCTTCGAATTGTCACATTCCCGTTCTCGTGTTGGCTCTTATCCTTCATATCTGCGGCGAAAGAATGGCCATGGATAGAACTCGTTTGAGTTAGGGGGAGTTGGCTTGTCGGCGCAAGAGCCGTGCTGCAATTTCTTTATCCGTGTGTCGACAATCAACAATTATTGCCATGCTCTTGTATTGAAATTCTCAGGGAAAAAGAATATGAGCAGACCAGCTGACTTACCATCTCTTCTTCCTTGATGCAGTCAAGCACAGCGGACGACAAGCCAAGCGAAGGTGGAAGTGAAACGACTCGAACATCCAACGCTCTGTCCGGTCTCGGCTCGTCCGACGAACTTCACAGCGCAGGAGGGCCTACTGCTGGCGAATATACGGGACGAGGAGAGAGTGGCCATACCGAGGGTCAGAGATCTTTGGCGGAAGGCGCACCTCGTGGATGAAGTTAGGGTATTGGAGTACATGGGCCTGCGGTTTGCGAGGGTGGTGGTGATGGAGGTGATTATCCGGTAGATATCTCGACGATCGGATCTGGTCATGTAGATTAGAGGAGAGGCAAGCAAACATCGTCCTCTCAAAGTTGAACATCCTCACATCATGTTGGCTTTGCTTCACCCCTTAGCACAACTCTCACTTCCCATTCCAACTTATCCAAGTATATATCATCCATCCACCGAATTTGTATCAAAACAATGTCAGAATGCAGAGTTGTTAGCTCAGTGGGTAGAGCAACAGGGGGGTTTTAGGGCCCGGGGACCAGACCGTAAATAAAGGCCAGTGTCCCGAAGAGACCCTAAATCTGTGGTCGTAGGTGCGATTCCTGCACAACTCATCACTCTTTTCTTTTGATTCTTTTTTTTCATGGGGGTAACTTCACAGGGGCACGAGTTGGCTCTACCTTTTCGAGAGATGCACTGCCTCAGTCAGGGAGGAACCGACGAGCCTCCTGACGAACAGTCTGACTTACCGCAACTCCTGATAGCAGCTTTCGTGCGGTGGTGGTTTTTCGTAAGGGGACAACATGACAACATCTGCCCGAGGATGATGGATGATGGATCAGAGGCACACAGGAAGGTCGTCAAGCTGAGCCCGCTTTGGACTTGTTGCTGGCCTGTTGTTCGTCTTGTTCGTTGAAGTGTTTGTCAAGTTTTCAGCCTTCGAAAGATCGTGTAATCATGTAGAAGCCTCTATTACGAGCGACGTAGAGAGTGGCTAAGCATCAGAATCTGTCATCAGGCACAGAAATTGTCATTCTCTCCCCACCAGCAGCGCCCATGATCCCCCAATTATCGCCCGAAGATGTCCGGAGTATGACGTTATCCATTTGTTATTGGCTTCATCGCCAGCGATGGCAATCGGCCTCTCTTCCATCCATAAACATCTTTGACCTTCCTGATAGTTTGAGATTCGCCATCACTTGTTGTACATATACAGCCTGTGCACAGTCTTTCACCTCGAAAGAATATTGCCCAGCATACCGTCAAACTGCAGCACTGCTTCAGTAATAGTCTTTTCTATATCAGCCTCCTCGTCCTTCTGCTCACCATGGCTTTCCAAATGCCTACATTTCTCTCACGATTTCTCCGACCCTTCACCACTTCAGCATCCCTCCCGCTTCAGCCGGATGCGCTCGCGGCAATGCAATTTCCTCCCAACTCCCAGCGTGCCATATTTGCCGGTGGATGCTTCTGGGGCTTGGAAGAGTTATATCGCAAACACCTGGGCAACGGCAAGGGACTGCTTGACTGCAGGGTGGGCTATACAGGAGGTCAGACCAAGGCGCCTTCCTACGAGGCCGTATGCTCAGGCAAAACCGGTCATGCCGAGTCCATGTTGATTGTCTTCGACCCGGAGCGAGTCACCTACCCTCAACTCTGCGAGTTCTTCTTCAGAATGCACGATCCCACCACGATGAACCGGCAAGGCCCAGATACCGGCACGCAATACCGATCCGCCATTTATGCTGAGAATGACGAACAATTGAAAATCGCAAATGAGATCAAGCAAAAGGTTGGGGAACAATGGTACAAAGGCAAGCCAATTGCCACTGAGGTCCTGCGAGCGACCCAGTGGTATGATGCAGAGGATTATCACCAAGATTACCTCCACAAGAAGCCATACGGTTATCAGTGCCCGTCGCATTTTCTTCGAACATTCCCGGAATTGAAGTAAGGATGGAGATTGAAATGAGAGTAAGAACCAGATCTTGACGAGCAGGTGTCCGGGTTTGGGCTGGTACTGGGCCCGAACCCTGAATGTGATTATGATTCTATACCATTTGTACATGATTCTCATCAGAGCCTACTCGGAAATCTGACTGCACCATCAAGCCGTATGACTCCACCGTTGAGCATTGGGTTTTCGACGATTTCCTTGACCAGTCGTGCAAACTCGTCCCTTCGTCCCATTCGTGTCGGATATTGAATCATCTCAGTACTCATCGATGCGCGGGAGCCAATGGCGCCTTTCGTCTTGCCCTCAACACGCTCCTTGCTCGCTGGCGCTGATGCCTTCTTCGGCGGTGAAGTCATTCCAGTTTCAAAGACACCAGGGGCGATCCCCATGACACGAATGCCTGCTTTCCGGCCCAGTTCTCGTGCCAGTGGCAAGACGATGCTTCGCACGGCGCCTTTGCTTGCGCTATAGGCCAACTGTCCAATCTGACCTTCGAATGCTGCGACCGAGGAGACCACAACAATGATACCTCGCTCACCGTCGGGACCCCAAGGTTCATTTAAAGCCATATGTGGGAGCGTCAGACGGATCAGATCTACCGTCCCTCGTAGATTGATTGCCAGTGTTCTGTCGAACAGTGACATGTCCATATACTTCACAGTCTCATGCGTCGCCGAACTATCTTGTTTGGGAAGCGCCAGCGCAGCCGTTCCAATACCTGCAGAACAGACTGCGCCAGACAACGGCTTATTCGTTTCTTTAGTCCATTTCAATGTGCTCTTCAGTGCCGCTTGCAATGATTCGGTGGAAGAAACGTTGGTCTTGTTGAAGAGTGTCCTAGACGTATCGATTCGAGAGGAAGCGTCGGAAGAGGGAGGATTGAGGTCGAGGATCGAAACATTGGCACCATTCTGGAGGAAGAGGATGGTGGTGGCCAGCCCAAGGCCACTAGAGCCACCGCTCACAATGAATGTGCGGTCTTTGATTTGCATGATGTGTTGCCGGCCAGAGTTGAACAGTGGATGGTGACGCAGGCGGTCTCAAGTATCATGGAAGAGTATGTGAAAGCGGACCTACCTCGGTTCGTCGAGGACATTTCATGTGCACTGACATGCCAGTAGCCCACGCTGCAGATGATATCGGAAAGCTTGGTCTGGGAGTTGACCCTACCTAGATCTTGGTGCAACACTGAACGGCCACGAGAAGAGAAGACAGCTTGTTCCATACCAGGTTCTCCGTCGAGCCGTATTGTTGGGTGTTTATTTCGTGGCACGTGAGAGACCGGGCAGTCGTCACTTCCCGCCGCCGATGGATGGATTCTGAAACCGGATCATCATCCACAGAGACAGAGACCAGCTGCCAGGCAGATTGGAAACGACCCCAAGTCCCAGTTTATACATAGGTAGTCTGGTGAGGATGAGTCCAGGATCTTCATCCGTCAGTCTACTGTCGACTCAAGATCTTTACGACATGCAAACAGTGACATGATACCAGTTCACACTGCAGATACTGTAACTCCACCTGCTTCAATCTCCCCGCCACCAGCCTTAGGCGCAGTCCGACTTGCATGGTCTCAGTCACTGGACCAGGCTGACCCTGTTCAACCACGGAGCCACTCGAGCCACGACTCACAGGTTGATCCCCAGACTTAACGACCTCTCCTCCTTCCCGCCATCTCCCATCCCCAGGAAACTCCGTTCTATGCGCGCCATATGTCCCAATCTTCCCACCGCTCAAAAGCGCCCGGCCGGGACGTGAACAGTCAGCGAAATGGGAACAAGGCGTCCAGGAATCAATCCAGGGTGCGCAAAAAGTCAATCAATGTCAACGATGCCTACCTCTACGCTCTACGAGTCGCATACCTTGCCTACCTCTTGCAACCTCGCACGTTCCGCAAAAGGCATGTCGAGACGAAGCCTTCGGTCAATCGCGCCAACACCGCTAACTCGTTCCATGAGTTGATGAGCGATTTCACCGTCGTGCGAGACCCCAAGAGTACAAGATTCCCCCACGACTTCATAAAAGAGCTGGAAAAAAGGTTGCAAGGTATACTCATTGGCAAGGAAAAACGCCCAGAATATCAAGATGCTGTGGTCAAGCGGACATTCGCCATCTTCCTCAACACTTTGTCAGATCCTTCTTTCAAGAAACGTATGGATGCCGACCGAAGAGCCGAAGACTTGGTGCTGATCTTCTTCTCCAATGCAACCAACGAGCTGCGACGAGGCAAGCCCCCTGGTGATGATGGCGTCAAGCGCATGGTCGACCGGCATGTCGCTTTGTTCGTCCGGCTCCTGACTCTGATCTTGAAGGATCGAGACTGGGCCAAAGACAAACCCGAGTTGGCATCCCGACTAACTACACTCGAGTCGAAACTGCTCAAAGGGGATGAAAATCTGGCCACTTCCGGATCCAATGGACAGATGAGTGTTGTAGAGGAAATGGTACCCCTCACCTACAATGTCAAGGACATGCCTTTGGTCCAGGTGGTCGGTCGATTGTTTGGCTTGACCAACACGATGATGCAGTCGGACATTGACAAACATAAGCCTGTCTGGACAGAGAAAGCCGCGCTACAGGACCTCAAGACATACCAGCAACACCTTAACCTTGGCACAAAGCTGACGCTCAACGCTCATGACTTCGACACCCAAGAAGCCTATGAAGCCTGGAAAAAGACCGAAGGCCCCGAGCTGTCGCAACTCATACTTGCAATTATACAGGCCAATCCCGATCTAGCCAAGAGTACTCCAGGTGGAAATCTTCCACATTTTAACTCCCAGACCTCGAGTCCAGGCTCTACTGAGTCTCAATATGCGGAGGTCTCCAAGCTCCTTTCCCAGGACTCTTCTTCCTATGCCTTGGATCTGCCGGCAGATCTTGGCTCACTTGATTTGAACGCCGACTCGTCCCCACGTGACAGTGATCCGGGACAGGTCTACACTTTTATTCCTTCAGATGCCAGAGCCATGTTTCGGTTTATAATGCTACAAGCCCTTTCTTACGACCTTAATGATAAGACGAATGATGGAGCCAGTGGTCAACTGTTTTCGAAAAAGACCACGGAATTGCTCAATGAAATCGCGTTGAGATGGCGAATACCCAAGTTTACTCGAATTGTGCTTTTTCTGGACGTGGTGCGGACGAAGTTTGTTGAAAAGGCAATCGACTTGGAAATGCTGGATGCAGCATTCAACTATGTCAAGGAACCAATACAGGACGAGTCAAAGAACAAGAGAGCTTCTCTTATCATGACCTCAGTTCTTTATGATCGATATAATTGGACCATGTCCGATTTTGCCCTGATGGGCAAGCTACTCAGCGCACTACATGAGGCGTTGCTTCGTGACCTTTACGAGAGCATCATGACAGCCTATGCCGACAAAGCTCAATTACCCAAGCTGGGGATGATACTGGCAATCATTGACGAGCACATCAAGAATGACCCTAATTTCACCCAAAACCCGGAGGATTTCGAGGGTTTCAAGAACGCGGCCATTGATGGTCTGGCCGTCGAAGCTCGAAGGCTATACGACCTCCTTCTAGATAAGGAGTTGCCTCAAGAGAATGAAAAGTGGGAATTCTACCACATCCAACAGGTGGCAACAGGGGTCTTGAAGCTTGCAGAAAAAGTACAGAAGAGGTTCAGAAAGAATC